TCTATGTCAAAAGAGGTTGGGGTTGCCTGACTACATCATTAATCGAATTTTTGCTGAGACTGAACTGAATAAAGGATCTAATTCCCGATGGGTGAAGACAATATTATTAACGCGGATTTTCTAAATGCTTCTGTAATAAAGAACTGGATTGAATCCGTGTTAAGATGTAGCACCTCAAAAAGAACAAATGACACGCATTTTTAATCGAAATAAGTTTTTATTGGGTACTCTTACTCTTACGGTAAGGCGTCAGCTTCTCATGCATGAGGATGCGTGTTCAAAACCTGCCAAGTACCAATGTGACTTTTTCCGAGTTAAATGTACTTTCTATGATTTAAGACACCATTGACATACGGTGAAAGGAAACATCGTTAGCAAACCTGGACTTTTAAGTTGTAAATCGCCAATCCGCCTTGAGCAAGTGTGGTGCTTAATGCTGAAACCTTCTGCGTGTTAGAAGAGGCCTTTTTCTCAGCAGTGGTCACTTATATGCTGATGATGATGATGATGATGACTCTTGTTCTACATACCAAGTTTACTAGATTTTATAGCTTTTTAAAGTAAAAAATACTGTAATAAATCGTTTGCTTGTTCCGTAAAAAAATGTCGTGGAAATGTGTTAGGTATTTTTTTAATTTTTTTTCCTCAACAACGGCAGAATATTCCCGGGAGAGCGATCAATTATGGGTACAACGTAACTGCACTCTACTTCAGTATTCCGAGACTCATTATTGATATAAATTGTAAGTAGAGCAGCCAACTCGACGTCTCTCTGGCTGGTCCACGAGTATCTACGACAATGTTTTGTTTCGAAACTATTTAAATTAAAGTCTATTATTATTTTAGCATGTTGATATTGGATGTTCTTTTGTCAGTTTGTAGCACTCTACGTATATTCAATTTGAGCTAGGTACATGACAGTATGACGGAAGAAATACAGTTTTATTGCAAAAAATGCTATTTGTAGGTATGTGGCAAAGGTATGGATGGCCAAGATAATACACCCAGAAGCATCATGAAAATAGGGAAACTAACGTTTCTTAGTCTTTTATTTAATTCATCACACCCCAAGCGAACGCCGGCGTTCTCCACGCGAACCTTTTATAATTTTACTTAGTGTCTCGAATCATCACGATTGAAAAGGATAAAAGATTCTCGCGTATTTACAAGAGCTTCAAATTTCAAACAGTCACGTCTGTCCTTAGGTTTGGAGGTTCATAATTGGCTCCTAGCATTGCAAAGGCTTAGACAATTAATAAAATTTTAATGACTAATGATCACTCTCGGATGTATACATTCGCAGGGAACCAGTAACCATTGTCAACGTCTAGTATACTAACATATATTGATACGAGCAATTAACCTCTTGGCAGGTGAAGATACACGTGACTACTATCTACTAGTAAACGTAATTAAAATATTTGTTTCTATAGTGTTTTAAAGGGTTTCTTCTCTTCTTCTTCCGTCTGAGTGGGGCAAAAGGCGGTACATCATTGCTGGACATCGGTTCAAGTGATCCCTAGATGTGGAGGTCTGATGGATGGATGGATCTTTGAGACGAGCCGGTACGCTCAGGAGTGGAAAGGGCTTGACTAATTTTGTAGTCCGACCGATGAGTATCAGACATTGATCTCTAGCCTCCTTGAGCGCAGGATGACAGCAAAGGATGGTTGGCCCAGCTAAACACGAGCCAGGGAGAAAGATGCAGTTATCGCCATCCTTCTCTTTCGACGACGCCGCCTTCAGCAAGCGTGCTTATTTGTGCTCAAATCTTCTCCGTGTGAGAAGATGTATTTGCGCAGCAATGTTGTTCCGGATTTGACACAATAGGTGCACGGTCTAAAGGTGACTGCATAGTTGGTGAGGTGGTTGGGCAACTAGCTGCCGTGCAACGTGTCGCGGGTTCGAATCCCGCTCGGAACAACTCTTTGCGTAATCCACAATGTTAATTGTTGTTCCGGCTCTAGATGTGATGTGTATGTGAGACCGTCTGTTTGTAAACGCAACCACGATACAGGAGAAAATAAAAGTTTCGGGCAACGATTAAAAATATAACAAGTGTACTATGTGTTGAACTATAACAGTAACACCCGGATTCCGAAAGGCCGATCAATGTTAAAATCAATTTAATCTCTTGTCAAGTCATCTGATTAGTTGACTGAATTATCAACAACCAATCTTGACTTGACAAGAGATTTAACAGGAGATTAGTTAATTTTAGCGTTGACAAGCCTTTCAGAAACCGGGTGTAAGAGAGTTTGAATGTTACTCAAAAAGTATTGAAACCCATTAAACGGTCTAGATATCATAATAACTATAACAATTATAAAACCAATTGATAACCGAACTAATTAATCTTAACAAGCCAGAATTATTCCTATTGAAGTTTCCATTGAATATTAATTAAAACATTACGATCATTATTTGATGATTCTCAAGTTATGCAAAGGAACCTGTTTTATTTATGTATTTTTAATTATTTGGGCTCTACCATGTTACCTAATGATAACTGAGCTTATAAAAAAAACTAGTGTCATATTATTGTAAGAGAAAAAAAAAAACGTCATCGTGTGGCGGGAAAATATATGCTGTGGTGCGAAAAAATTATGACAAGATGGCGGTTAGCCGGGAGCTGTCAAAATGCATATTCTCCTAAAAGGAATTTATATCAGATAGGAAAATCTATTTTTATATTGTTAATAAATATTAGTCCCGTTAAGATGAGATGAGATGTGTTTATAATTTGAATACGTTGTTAGCAAACTATGAAATAGCCATATTTGTTGTAAATGTGTAAGTAGAATCTGGGTATTAGGTATGCTGTGATGAAAAAACTTGATTAAACTAAAGATTACAAGGAATATTTAAGTGCCAAATTATTTTTTTTCGAATTTATACACTGCTATTGTGTAGCCTGTAGCTTCAACTACATTGAATTTAGAAGGTGTCTCACCAATAGATATTCAAAACAAATAAATCCTTTGCATATTAGTATAGATTTGATTAAAATTTTGTATAGAAATGTTCTGTTATATAACTCAACTAAGTACCTATAAGTAAGTTTCAAGGACGATAAACGAAACGGTGTTAATTTATTGAGCGAACGATAAACATGTGTTACTATTCAGGGTCAGCCATTGAAATGTAGCACGTATATGTATTATACATTAGTACTATTGTTATTTGATGCTTATGTAATGACAAAGTATCCTTACTGTTCTTTACTGAAGTTTTCAGTTCTGAATATTGTTTGTATTAAATAGTTTGATAGGATTAATTGGGTAGTTTCCTAGGTCAAAAATAAATTAATTCGATGTTTCAATACTATAAAATATTGAAAAATAACTATAGTTTTATTTATCGATCGATCGATACACCATGTTTTAGATTTTTTTTAGCTAATTACTGTGAAATAAGTAAGCTATTTGACGCAAAAATGTTATGACGTCATAGCTCAGTTTTTCATATAAATTTCATAGAAAAGTATCGTTTTTGACGTTTGGATAAAAGTATTGAATTTGACTAGTTGGAAACTACCGTATTTACTAAATAATTTACGTAATAGATTTTTATAGTACCTAAAATATATTTAAAATCATATCATTAGCCTATAAGTGCCCACTGCTGTTAATGTAATGTTACCATTTTACTTCTCCCGCCCTAGTTGTGAGTATCAGACTCTTGCTGACTGAAAACCAACCCGTGCCTTTCGTTGCATTATTACAGTCTGAAGCCACAACCCGGGGTAATATTAATACTCTTAATGTATCACTAAAAAATTTCTTCAGTGTGCTATAAAGAGTATTTTTTATTTATTTATTTAAACTTTATGCAACAAAACATTACATAGGCGGACTTAATGCCGCAGGCATTCTCACCAGTCAACCTTAGGATGATGCAGAGTACCTATACCTAAAAAAATAGTACGTAAAATACTACGCGGAAAGTTTTAAACAATACGATTTCTCCCGATTCTGCAGTTAATTGAATTAAGAAATTAGGTTTTGGCTTACTAAATACTTAGGTACTTACTAAGTTTGAATTATTGGATTAGGCTTTGTGCTAAGCATGGAATGGTGATCCTTAGAAAGCAAAGAGCAGACCTTGGCCACACTTAACCTTATTATCAGTTAGGCCGCTTATCTATGACATCACCATGAGCTCTCGAAGTTTGTGAGGACAAAAGTATTTTTGAAGAGTACGTTGACCTTTTAAATTACTTGTATTCGTTGGGTGAAATATGCAATAACCGGTTTTCATATAATTAGCATAAATATTCGTCCAAAATTCAACTATCGTACAAGAGAGACAGCTCTTTGTAAAAAGAATATAATTAAATAAGAAAATCTTTGGTTTTATTATTAATTTTTATAACATAAAAATATTTTTTTATTTGGTTTTATTAACATAACAAAATTGTTAGGTACGTCAATAAATAAATAAGTGAAAAACGTTTTTTAACCGTACTATGATAAAATAAAATAAAACAACAAACAAACAATTTACGAAAATAACTGGTGTATAGGAAATAGTAAAGGGTAGGACATACTAGTAAAATAAAATTTGAGGAAAAAATTTGGTGAGTAAAAAGTAATATTTAAAAAAATGTGTTGCATTTTACAATTATAGAAAAAAACATTAAACGAATTATCCAGTCCAAACGATATTTTTTTTTTAATTAAATTACCTTAATTACTTTTACGTGTACGTTATAAAGACAATCTGTATTAATAAATAATACTTTTATGGCAAGATAAAATAGATAATGCGTTAGAGTTTAGAATAAAATCAGCCACACGCTAAAAGTTAAAAGAAAACATTTGTATTTTTATCACACAGTCGCCGAGTCAACGCCGGCCGGCGTTGAGCAAAACAAGTTTTAATTCAGTACAAATATAACAATACCTAGTATTGGCATAGCCGTTCTCAGGTCTATAGTAAATTCATAACAGTTTTAAGTGAGATAATAAGCTAGTGAAGCTTTTATAAAACTAACTCACCCTAAATCTATACTTTCCAATCGGTGGCCTTGCATATGGTACTCCTTGGAAGCTGGCGTAGGATCTGCCTTTTGTGGACACCTTCCATGATCCCTGCAGAAGCCCGTGAGCCACTCTGATCGTAGGATTAGGGCCCTGAGCAGCCACGAAACCTACGATCGTCAATAACAATAATAACTTCAAAGACATTTTAAAAAAAATAGACGTAGCGTGGCACTGGCAGACGTGCGCCAACGCAGATCGCGGGCGCGGTACTGAATTCCTAATGTTTATAATTTATACAATCAGTTAGCGACTTGGCGGTGCACAGATAATAATATTGTCATAAAGGGCGTCCGCAGATACCTATTACGCTTGACCGCACAGCTTGACCGATTACAGTATGCTGCACAACTGTGATTGGTTGCTTAATATTTCACTCTTGTTTAGTTGTGTATTGCTTCTAAATGTAAGTACTAATTGGTAGCTGGACTACTCCCCTTCTTCTTAGGAGACATCGCGACTTTGTTGGTGTTTGTAGTTTTTTAAAAGGTCCAAGTTATCGGGAACCTCCTCTTTTTGGTCTCTTTCATATGTGGAGTCCCAACAGGCCCGGTTTTTTTAGCTGGATTTGCGTTTCAAGCACTATAAGGTACCGCGGCCTCGACCTGGGGCAGGATAAAAAACGGGGGTTGTAGTCAGTAAGGATTTGACAATCCCTCTCGTACCCTGAGCGAAAAAGTATTTCATTTGAGGATTTTCCCGCTTCAAATCTATATTTCTCTTAAAAAAAAAAAAGAACGAAAAAAGCTACTAACCAGAAAACTGACGATTTCTATAGTTTTGTAACAATTCGAAGTTTCCAATTATTCGTAATTGGTATGCACATCACTAATTATATTATTAAATATAATATCAATATTGTGGTTGCAAAGGTACCCATAATGTTCGGTTTTGATTGGAATCGAACCGGAAAATCGAGGTAATTTATTAATTGCGTTCGTAATGTTTATTTTAAATTAGTTTCTGTCCGTAACTTTGTCCGTATATAATAGGCTTTCAAGTCAAAGAGAAATAAATTATCTCCATATCAAAAATAAATTATTTTTACGTTTCTATACAATTAAAATATTGAAAAATTATTATATTATCATTTGTTGATTTAGTCGATACATTTCATTTACGATATTTTTTTATTACCTTATTGTTAAGGAATAGATAAGTAAGTAGTAAAACTATAATGGCGTATTTAAGTCACGATTGTCATCGTACCTATAGTGACTTGCGGTCGGCGAGTAAGGGCAGCTCGCCGCCCGACCAGAACCAGGCCCGAGCGTACGGCGCGTAGCGTTCCGCGCGCGCCTCATAGAGCCATTCGACCACCACAGACGGGGCTCTAAAGGGCTGATGTTCAGGAGAAGGAACAGGGGGGTTTTTAGTCAGTAAGAGTCTGACACTCCCTCCCGCCCGGCCCTGGGCGGGAGAAGTCATTTGATGATTTTCACCTCACAAAAAAAAAACCTATAGTGACTTCAGGCCGCTGTGTTTTGTTTTAATTTTCATAACATACTAGCACTAGCTATTCACGCGGTTTCACCCGCTGGTCTGCTGCTACAGATCGTAGCGTGATGTTTTATAGCGTATAGCCTTCCTCGATAAATGGACTACCAAACAAAAAAAGAATTGTTCAATTTGAACCAGTAGTTCCGGAGATTACCGCGTTCAAACAAACAAACTCTTTAGCTTTATAGTATTCAACACAATATAATGGATAGGTATAGAAAGTATCTATACTATACTATAATATACTATAAGTTAGTATGTAGGGGGACTTTGGAACCGCTGGTCGGATTGCCAAAATTCTTTCACTGATATGTAGCAAAATGTTCCTGAATGCTATAGGCTATAAAACATCACGCTACGATCAAATGGAGCCGGGCAGCGGGTGAAACCGCGTGAGAGCAGCTAGTAGATTATATATAAATAAAAACTTATCAGGAGAGGGAGGCTACGCACTTGAATTTCCACTGGTATTCCGTGTGTCGGCGGCGTTGGTTGCTGACCATCAGGTGATTCATATGTCCGTTTGCTGCCCGCTCAATAAATACTTTGTCCTTTATTTAAAATTATTGAATTTACGTACAGACAAACTTATTATACTGACTTATTAAACGAAAAGAAAACAAGTGCAATATTTTCATTTTCGATAAATTGTATTATACAGTTTCATACTATGACAGAGTTGAAGTAGTCCAAAAGCTTATAAAAATATTAATTTGAACTCCGACTTATTTAGTCAATAAATGGTTACCAATGTGACTGTTAAGCTAAAATATGTATATTGATTTCAATATAAATGTATACTTGATGAAATTTACGAAGTAAAACGAGTAAAACATGCTATCTTCGCACATATTTGAAATATAAAGGAAAGACTAATTAAAAGGCACTTAAAGTATAATTGAATAATAACTGACTTTTTTATTAAAACAAATGTGCTGCACTCTATAATTTTTTCCCGTGTCGTGCCTTCGTTTATAAACATACAAATTCACATGCACAAGCCACTCAAAATTCGAAGCAACAATTTGTGGATTACACAAAGTCGTTCCGTGTGGGAATCGAATACGCGAGGCTTTGCACAGCAGCTTGTTGCCTACCAACTGCGCAAGCCCACCAACTGTGCAGTCAATACTGAAGTCATATAATATTTTTCGCCAAAATGATAAACAGAAACTATAGCGTTTTAGGGATTAGGGATTTGGAGATTTAGGGATTGAGGAGGGATTGGGGGTGGGGAAGGATTGGGCCTCCCGTAACCTCACTCACACGGCGAAACAACGCTGTGGTTGTTTCATGCCGGTTTTCTGTGAGGCCGTGGTATCACTCCGGTCGAGCCGACCCATTCGTGCCGAAGCATGGCTCTCCCACACTTGACCCTTCTCCGATTCTTGCACAATATTTAGCTTCTCTTTTCCACTTGACTGAGAAACCCTACCCACCTAACTTGATTGAGAATAAACTGTGCATCAAAAATGACTGCTTTTAGTCAGACTATTGTAAAATAGCTTCAAATTATTTTTCTAGGCACTAGGGGAGTGTGATATAGCCAAACGGATAGCCAAGCTGAAGTAGAAAGTGGAGGTGATGAAGAAGTAAAATAACCAGACAAATGACAGGGCTACATGTAGCCCTGTCATTTGTCCTGTGGTAGACCAAGTATCTGCTGGAGTTGAGACTGTTGTAAGTCTAAGTGGGAACATAAAAAGCCTGCTGGAAGACTAGGGATGAAATGGACAGATGACATCAAGAATGTGGTGGTACAAAATTGTTTGATAACAGCCAAAAATAGGACTGAAGGAGGCCTACCTCAAATTTTTTCAAGATTTTTTTGAGATAGATCCCACCTAGTGTGAAAGCATTGCGAGGAAGTATCAGATGAGATCTCGTACGGAGTAAAAACCATCTCGTTCCTCCTAGTCTGAGCCAGCCAGGTCTCGGTTCAGCTGGACTTCGGCCATATTGGGGGTCCATGAGGGCCTTACGCTATACGCAATGCGCCGTACGCCGCTCAAGTACTGGTTTTGGGTTCTGATCGGGCTCCAAACTACCCTTGCTTCGGAGATCGTCAAAGCCCGGAGCATCTCCTGCGGCAGCGATGGCTTGAGGAGGATCGTTCCCTTACGCGTTCCGCCTTCATCTTTGTGATGATGAGGTGAGGTATAATGGGAAAAGATAATTCCAAGGAAGTAATAAACTTACATCTTTTTTCTTAAAGATCACTGGTTCCAAAGTCCCTCTGACAGCATACTAGGAACAAGAATTCCACTAAGAAGGAAATTTCATTTCTTAATGGTTCAAATAAATTTACAAGCAGTCTTTGTTCAAATCATCGTTATAGTACCAAGTCACGTTTTAAATGGCAACACTTGAGGACAGCCCGTTCCATAACATTCACATTTTTAAATCGGTTACATTGCCATGTCAAACATACATTGCTGGTTTTGTATTATAAGTTTATGAATCAATCAGAAGTGAGACAGCAATGGATATCGATTAATGAGTGTCTGTCGAGGGCTCATTATATTTGAGTAAAGGATTCTAGATACTCAGAAACCGTATGAATTTCTAAAATTAATTGGTGGCAATTGTTAACGCGCAAGTAAATTTGTATTCTATTTCTAGATGGTTATGAAACATTTTCGTTGAAATTGAATTTGTGTTTCTTAGTAAAATGGAATACTAGTATAATCTGAATTTAATGGGATATTTTTATATTATTCGGAAAAATATTTTTTGTTCATTGTTACAAATGATGCCTACGGCAGCCAATTAAGTATCTACTTACTTTTTCACACCACAGAATCTTTCTTGAAAATCGTTTTTTCGTACCTAATTGGCTACTTCACCGATCGACGTACAATTATATAATACCTGGGTTTGATGGGAACTGTCCCAAGAAATATCTATTTTCTCGAATACACTACTGACATACGGCGAAGGAGGCATCATCAAATGACTTCACCTGCCCAGGGTGGGGCGGGAGTGAGAGTCAGACTCTTACTGCCTAAATAGCCACCCGTTCCTTCTAATGCTCTAGACCGAGGCTGCGGTGCCTTAATGCGCTTGTCCCGCAACCCTGGCGAAACATCAGCCTTATAGGGACCCCGTCCGTGGTGGTCTATTGGCTGTCAGAAGTAAACCTGGATTTATAATTTCTAATGTTACCGGTGATTTAAGCTCATGCTTTGTCTTTGCTCAGCTGTAAGTACTTAAGCTTAGGTTGATGACGATGAAGATAATGATGAGGTATACAAGGGAATTATAAAAGTCACGTTGTGATAATTTAAATAAACAATTAGTTTGGATTTGGGATAAAAAAACACGTGTCCTTTTTTACGGCAACCTGCCAGTAACCATTAGGTAAGTTAAAAAAAAAGAAAGTAAATAACGAATCCTCAAACTTTTGATAAATCTTCAAACGTCCAACGGTTTCGAACTTTCGAATCGAATTACGAAAACAATTTGAATGTTACGAGTAAATAAATTTGTTTACTTTGACTTTTTTAACTGGCAACACAGTTTTATAAAGCGGATCACGTTGCGTACTTAGAATATTGGAGCCGTGTTTTCTTAAATTATATAAATTTGAATTACTTCTTCGGCAATATGAAGAGTTCAATGAACTTTGACTGTAAGAGATTGAGTTCAGTAAAGTTTTATTGAGATTTTCTGGTGTTTTGAAAAGTGATTATACATTTTTGAGTTTTGATCTTTCGGACCTATTTATAATTATAGGGTTAGTAGTAGGTGCTCCGCACGCTTGTGAAAATAATTATGGTATACA